TTTGATTGATTTCCCATCTCCACTGAAATCACTATTATACCTTGGACACACTCTGAAAAACCTGTTGCTTGTCTCATTCCTCGACTGGTCCTAAAGGCCTCTAGGACCACTTCTGCTCCAAAATTAGTAAGAACATTCAACTGAAGGCAGCTGTGACCCACTTATTAGCAGATGCCATAGCCCCAGGGCACAGTGGCTGAGACAGAACACAGGGAGAAGCATCCTCCCTAGCAGTAGCAGGGGAAGGCAAATGTCCTTGGAAGACATGTTCTATCTCAAGTAGAACTGCATTAAGTCCAAAAAGTCCATTTCGATGCTCAGGAGGCATGAAGGGAGAGAATCAATCATGTGGATAAGCAGGCTATACAAACAGTTCACTGTTTTGATACCATCCTTATGACCTGTCCCTACTGACCAAATCCTACATCCTGGCAGTCAGAAGCTAGCTATATTCCACCTCATTTAAAGAAACTTAGATCATAAAAATAGGATCATAAGGCCTGAGATTCTTAGCTGGGAAAAGTGAGTCCTTAAGAGAAGGAAAAAATTCTAAGCTTACAGAGGAGCACTATCCTGAGGTCACAAGCCTCCTTCCCTCAAAAAGGCCATTTACTTTCAAGTGGTACCATCTCTATAAAATATTTTCTAAAAAATCATTCAGATGTTTTATCTGTTATGAATATCCTGTGGAAGTCACTTTACCTAGGTATTTTTATGCATGGAGGAGAAGACCAGGCTGGCAAAAAGAAATGGCTCATGGTACAAAGAGACAGCATGAGGCTTTTCACGGAGAAAAATCAGTGAAGACACAAAAGGACTCCAGGCTTAACGTTCTACCATACCCATGAATTCTCTAGCTAAAGACAAACTTCCACGCCTCTTTTGCACTCCTATCCCCATTCCTTACTTTAGGAATGGCCATCCAGAACAGAACCCCAGAGAAAGTACACATGCAGTGGCTGTGAGCAACAGCTGTAACTCAGTACTGGAAGGCTGAACTCTGTAACCTGCATTATATGTTTCCCGAGACCTCAGGACTGTCCTGCCTAGTTCCAGAGCTCTAAGGAGCATGGAAAGCTGGGGGTGACCTTGTCACTTCTCAAAGAGAGCCAATAAATGCGTTCTACTCATTGCCTCCACTTTACAATCAGGTTTCCAACCAAGCTAAGCTCCGCTCTGCCATCTGCGCTCCCAGCTCTTCTTGGCTAGTACCCGCTGGGCTGCCTGTGATCTAGCAGCATCTGTTCACCTGTAAGTGTTTGATACCACATCTTTTTCCAATGGTGACGAGCTTGAAGTACCTATGGAGTCCCCACTTACTCCTACAGTTCTTCTAGGAGTTCTCTTTGATACTCCCTGTGAGGAGGGGAGGATCCTAGGCAGGGGATGGGAGTGAAGGAAAGGGAAATACTGGAGATACGAGAAAAGAGAATAAAATCACTTAGCACTGTCCTAGACCAGAGCAAAATAACATCTGTCTTACTACGGAGGTACTCAGGACAGTCTGACAACTGGAGGAAGCTTTTATGATTCTACAGCATCAGTGACATACACAAGTTTCTTGCTACACATAAAAGGAGGAAATGCTAAAAAAACCACAAACTTTTTTTTGTTCAACAAAGTCAAATAATAGGAAACTCCTCAAACTCTTTCCCAAATTTAGAGACAAGCCTGTCCATTTGGAAAGGATGTACCATTCAATACTTATCCATTTAAACCACAAGGAAGAGAATAAGATAGGTGGCAGGGACACAAGAAGTCAAGATTTCAAATCTTGATCTTACTGATAAGTCACATTGGCGATAATTATGGAGCCTGTACTACTGCTGATTCCAGCTGTGGCTGGCATTCTAGGATGCCCTTTAAAGTGAAGCATTCAGATGACTCACGAAGCCTTTTGGCATCACAGCATCCTCGCCTTGTGGCTACTCTAAGGAAGGATAATAGGGAGAAACTGACTCATATCAGATCCATTAGAAAGGTAAAAGACCACCACATATCAGTTCATAGTACTCTGGAAGCCTCTATTTTTAAAGCCCAAAGGTCAAATGATTAGCAGGTCTACAAGCAATGAGTGAAGTTCTAGTCTACAGAGATCAATGGCTTGTGTAGGACTGGAAAAAATATTGATAAAACCCCTAGAAGCTGCAGCCTTTCAGATGAGCTGCTTTTAGTTAACAGCAATCAGGAAGCTACAGAAGCAGGTGTCTGTCTAGAGAGGATCTTAATATTCCTAAATATGCTTATTCTGGGTGTGAGTCTTAACTGTAGCTTCAGAAAATAGTAGATACCATTTTTAGAGGACCTTTTGGACATTACATAACAAAATGTGATTTTTGAGTCTCTATCCCCCACAGAACATTTGTCCTAGAATTGCAATGCTAGCAATGTTATTACTAGATCCTTTTTTTTTTTTAAGGGAAGGACTCATCCAGAAGAATAAGTTTGTGGTTAACCTGGGAACAAGTGTTTACGTAGAATATATAATTTGAAGGAGTAATTAAAATGAATTTCCTTACCCATTTGTACTGCTTTTCTGAAAATTAGAATATCTAAGAATCTAAAGATCAGCAGCAGTCTCCAAAGGAAATGGATATTTCTTTGTCCTTGACAGACTGGGGATATATAGGCCATACCACCCTGGTCCTGTAATGAGAAGTTATTTGATGCCACTGGACCTTCTAACCACAGAGCTCCATGTACTTTATAAGCCCTGTTGGACACACCTGGTAGGGAAGGAAGCTAAAGTATAGATAGATGTCACAGATGTGATGCAGAAAGCCAGTGTCAAAGAAGGCAACTAAAACCTCTGCTAGCAAAAGATAGCGGAGATTGTTTAGGGTTAGGCTTTATACTTTCAACATCTTTGGAAATTTCTTCCAAAGTTATAAAGCAACTTCTGAAAATGCAAAAATTTCAGCACCTTTGTTCATTCATATTAGGTTTCCTAACATTGGCCAGAAGAGAAAGGGGGGAAGAGGGGAGAGAAATCACACCAAAATGCTTAGGAGAAAATTTAAAGCTTTTAAGAGGAGTAGTAGGCAGCAGGGAAAAGAAGCAGCCAATATCTTTTGCTTCCTCCCACCACCAAACCTCATTAAAAAATTTTTTTTTGCAGGCACTAATATCAATTACCTTCATGAGTTATAGGTGCAATATCTAGAAGATGAAGGCAATAATTAATGAGTGTCTACTTTCCTGAAGAGTTCCTTCTGTCTCGGTCAAAGAGTTATTGAGATTCAAGAAAGGGGGTGTCCATCACGTGCAAGGTTAATAAGAATAAGCAAAGGAGCAATTTAATAAGGCAACAATATAACTTCTAAATAACTGATGAGGCAAGTGACATTAGTTAATACTGCTGGGGTTCAGAATCCTTATGTATGGGTGGGTACAAAAAGGGGTAATATGAGGGGGTGGGGGAGAGAGAAGGGGACAACTAAGTAGTCTCCCTCCATACAGTGAAGCAATTATAAAAAAAAACTCATCTAAGGTGCTCTTGTTGTTTCTTTGTCCTCGATATACTCGGATACCAGTGATGTGCTCCTAGACCCCTTTCTTACCAACACTTCCAATCGTCTACACCAGTTAAGAGCTCCAGATGGCTTTGCAATAGGCCCTTACAGTTACTAATGCCTTTGCTAATTTTATCAATCAAGATGGCGTTTTGTGAAATGCACGGCAGGATGTGTTTGGGATAATAGCATAACAGGGCCTCAGCTGTGCTGCTAACGTGGTAACTCTCCCTGCTGCTCTGCTGGGGTTGTTCTGCCCACTCTTAATATCAGGAAGCAGGGGCGGGGGGAGGGGGGGGAGGAGATGGGTGGACACACAAAAAGCAATTATCAATTATTATCTTGGTACCAAATTCTCACCAGACCCAAAATGAATAGATCAGAGCCATAATTCAACTGAAAAACAAAATCCTAGCCCCAATTTGATGATGGAAGAGAGGAAAACCAGGTCATGTTACTGCTCCAGAAATGTAGATAGCAAAAAACAAGGTCCACTAACGGCTTATCAATATAATTATGCCTTTAATTATGGGGTGGAACTGGAAAAGTAAAAGAGACTCAGTTACACTTGGGGCTTTCATATCTAGATTTAAACAGCAGAGTTTGCTTGATCCAATGATATCTCTTTTAGTTCAGTGGTTTTTGAGTCAAGTTGCTAATTCCTCTGAAGTCTTAGCTCTCTTTCCCCACCTTCTACACCAAATAAGTAGCTATATATCAAATCAGCAGGGCACCTAGTGTATCTAAATCTGTGTCACAGCAAAGAGTACCAAGAAATAGCAAAGAATATTAATAGATGAGATGCTGCAAAAATTAAAGAGAAATATTTCTTAGTGTCATTCACAAAGGAAGCAGAGATAAATAACTGCCTCTGGTTTTGAATCATATTAACAAAGCCCAGCTCGTATATGGTTCAGTCTTTTCCTCCCCACATCTTATGGTACAAAGCAACCATGGAAAGTCTAAAGATTAATGGAATTTGTCAGAGAGGAAAAGGGAAAGACTGGGAGATAGGAAATCTGCCTAGAGACCGGTTCTGATGATGGCTAGGAAACAGGGTCAAGGATAAGACAGATCACTCAACCTTGAAACCTCAATATACACCTGTGATCCCTTGGATATCCGCTACAGAGGGATATGATGGAATTAAAACGAAAATTCCTAGAAAATGAAATCCTCCACCCTAAAGGTCCTTTGCTAAGTAAATAATTTCCCAAACACTATGAACCAAGTACACAAGGCCCTGGAGTTAGCCAAGAGACTGTGGGCAGACGGACTTTTGTCACCAAGATGGAGCAATCACTTGTTCAACAAAACCATCAGTATCGAGTGACTATGAATGGTATAAAGTTGTGTGGACCCTGTTACATGGGGAATTTTACCAGAAATTTAAGGCACTTCAAATACGCCAGGTAATCCCAAGGCAACTAACTCCCTCTGCCACAAGACATAACTTCCTGATGTAGCAACATCAGCCACGGCACTTACCAGATAGATGCGGTAGGCGTCAATTCGTCTGATAGGGCCCCAACACACGTCTGTGTCATTGTACTTGGTGCTGGCTTCTACGTCACAGGAGTGATTGCCAGTGGCACTGCTGGTAAAAAGAACATAATGGTAGTCTCCTCACCGCTCTATGGATTTCACCACATGGTTTAGAGAGAATGGATCATGAATCCACTGGTTTCTTTACCTCATTAACTGATGGTGCTATCCTTCAGGAGACAAGCTTCTTAATGTACACATATTCCTATAGTACCTTTCCCCAAGGACCCAGAAATCTGTTATCAGCTCAGTCATTTTTACAATAAGGAAGAGGACAGAAGCTATGTTCCCCTGAGACTGAGGGGAAAGAGGTGGCCTGAACAGAAAAACTACAAAGGAGCTGTAATATAGTCAGTAATGGAATTCCTTAGAAGGAATTGCTTAGCATTGTGCTTCTATCCTATCGATCCTGAGTTAGTCCTGGGTTTCTTGGCTAGCAGAGGGCACCATGTGGTTAAAAGAGGAATGGGCAGAAAAGTAGGCACTCACCAGGTCACCTGCATAAGAGATAATGGCACAGCTGCAGCATAGATAGCTAGGTCCCCATAAAGGTAGATAATGATACAAAAATAGAACAGGTTGACTCCCACTGAAAGTGACCAAAAAAAAATTAATCAGTCAATAAGCCTGAGAGAGATGCCTTTATATAAAAAGTTTTAAGACAGCTCAATTTTTAGCCTTCAAGTTAGAGGATCTCAGAGTCAAAAAGGACCTCAAAAGTCATCTAGTCCAATCCTATACCTGAACAGGAATCCCCTCTACAACATCCTATTTACTTCTTTTTGGTTTCCCCCCCCCCCCCAAATTTCATTTAATATGAAACATATCTCTACAATTTTCCCAAAAGGAAATTCTTCTCATGTTTCAAATGTAGTACTAGAAAGGAAAACCCCAAAGATGAGAACTAGCCTAAGTTAAGCCAGACGCCTAGATCTTGTTTGTTTCATCTACTAATTTCTCAAAGTAAGATAGACACTGGAAATAATTCTCTGTCCCAGATCCAGTAATCTCACTAGAAAGATAAGAGCCATATAATTGGGGGCAGGAAATCCAAAATCAGGAAAAGCCTAATATCAGGAAGGTGTAGGGGGAGTTTGCTTAGGTAAGTAGCCTAGGAATTGGTGGGGTCTTCAAGATTAGGATGGGACACATTGGGAAGAAAGGACAGAAGGTGAGAAATCAGTGTCAACTATCAAAGTTAGAGTTGCACCTTCAGAAAACTATGTTGTATGTCGTCACAAGGCTGGGGAAAGAGGGTGGGTAGGGTGTCTTTACTGTGGAATTCTGAAGCCAAAGAAGAGTTAAAAAGAAAACATTTATTCTTCCTCAATCAAACCAGTAGTAGGAGAGAAGAAACTCAACTCTCACTAGTTATTTTTTAAAAAGAAGAAATGCCTCACTCTAAAACTAATCTAAATATAGTATAGTTCAAGTCAATTAATTAAGGGGAATTGGGGGGTGGGGAGTAGAACCAGGGAGGGAGAAAACAAATGCAAAGAAAAGACAGAATAGGTAATGTTGGAGAAAAAGTTTGGGGAGAAAGCGATCCCTACTTTTTATAAAAGACATTTGGGAGAGCTGGCTTGGAAACTACACAGTGAGCAATATGGAGAGTCAGAGAGCCCCACTGGCTTGTCATCCCAGCAGCCAAATATCTTGATTAGGGTGTGACACAAGGGTTCTTAACCTTGTATGTATCATGGACCCTTTTGACAGTCTGGTGAAGCCTATGGACTCTTCAGAATAATGTTTTTAAATGCATAAAGTAAAATACAAAAAAGGAAATTAATTGTATTGAAAGTTATCTAAATATTATCTTAAAAAAAGTTCACAGACCCCAGGTTAAGAACTCCTGTTCTAAGGGAACACAGCACAGTGTGACTAGAATGTAAAGGGCTGAAAAGAGCCTCTAAGATCAGCTAGTTCAACCCTTTCGGCTTAAAAATGAGAAAATTGAGGCCCAGAGAAAAGCTACGCAGTCAACTAGAGCTGAGAGCTGGGGTTAGAACCTTGGTCTTCAGGGGCTAGGTGTTGAAGTGGGTAGAGTTCTGGCTGTGGAGTCAGGAAGACCTGAGTTCAAATCTGACCTCAGACACTTGACACTTACCAGCTGTGTGACCCTGGGCAAGTCACTTAACCCCAACTGCCTCACCAAAAAGCCAAAAAAAAAAAAAAGAACTCTGGTCTCCTAATTCTTAGGGCTCTTTACACTGTACTACAATGTGGCAGAAAAACCACTTACGTGGGAGTTGGGAAACCTGGGTCCTATGGGTGGTCCCACAACTGTGGGACTTTGAACAAGCCACTTGACTTGTAAAACAGGGATGATGACTGCCTATCCATCAATCAATAAGCATTTATTATGCACTTATTATGTGCCAGGCACTGTGCTAAGCTACCTTACAGGATGACAGTTGTAAGGAGGAAAATGTTCAGGAAAACAAATGATTGAGGGTTGCACAAATATACTTAGGGTATGTTCTCAAACGATAAATTTCAAGCTGTTCTATCCAGAATGATTTCTGAACATTTTCAATACCACTCTTTTATCCTGTTGGCTTCTCTAAAGAGAGAACAGAAATAAAGGGGGGCAGGGGAGGAAGGACAGTTCCTTTAGGATTCCCAAGAGAAGGTCTAGGGCACACTAGCTCTGGAATGACTATTTGAAGTCAGCACCACACTCCATGACTGGGGAGGTGAATGAATAATGTTTAGGAACACATGGCTCTTGAAAGGCATGCGAAGGGCAACAGTTCCTGCTTTCAGAACGTTGCCTCTCCCTGACATGATGGGGCAGGCTAACTGTCCAAACCCACAAAGGTCCTATAGTCTCCTGGTCATTCAGGCCTGAGGCAGCAAGCACAGCCTGTGCTCTCAGCTTGATTTTCTACTCAGACGCCAATACTCCCTGAGAAGAGAAATCTCTCCCTCCATTCCACCACCAATACACCAGAACACCAGTTCTGTTTATAAACTGTTACCAAACATCCCTCATCAATAATTTCATTTACCAGACACAAAACAAAAGGATCCATAACTTCCTGTTAAAAGGCCAAATGATAGATAAGCCCAGAATTTCTGATGACAGGAAATGGGTCTGGAACTTTCTAAAGCCTAATAGCTCTTTAAGTGAGGGAGGCAGACCCTCTTAAGGGAGACTACAGCAGTGCCAGCTAGGAATCAGGAACTATAGTAAAAATAAAGGAGGGTTCTCCCTAGATGTCAAAGCCTATTCTTATGAATAATCTAGTTTACTCGTATGTCATGGAAAATATACTAGTTCATAAAAATAAGCACTGGCATTTGGACACTTGAGGTTCAATAAAGGCAAGCCTTAAAAAATAAAAATTAAGAAGCAAATTTATGAGATGCTTAAAATTCTCTGCATGTTTTCCTTTAACTTAAAGAAAAAACTGTATGGAAGGGAATTTAACGTGCATCTTCTAGGGGTAAAGCCCTTGAGAAGGAGAATGGGGGGAACAGTAAGGCTAAGGAAGTAAAAGCACACTGAAGTATGGACTGGGCAGAACTATTTAGTGCTGAATGATACTGGAAAAAAACCCCATTATTTGTGAACCTCCAGTAAAGACTAATTTAACACTGCATTAGGATACTGACATTTTCCTGGGTTTTCCAACACTATGTCAATAGAACACAAGCCCTAGTAGGTCCTACTAAGCTGGAAAAGCTTTGAGTACAGGTCTTGTGATGACCTGCCTAGTGAAGTCTGAGAAACACTTATCATAAGGCTGGCCACAGGGTGATGAATTTTCAGCAAAAGCAATTCTCTATGACAATCTACGTTATAGAGCAACTATGATCTATAATGGTGGAGGCAGTGGCCACACAGATGAAATCAGAAATCCCCGAAGAATCATTTGTAAGGCTTGTTTGGTCCTCCGCATGTTCCTATTATAGTCAGCCAGACCACACTCCCAATGAAGAACAGTATGCGCCATCTTTAGAAAAGGAATATCTGAACAGCAGCTCAGAAGCTTCTAGTTCCATATGCATAGCCTAACTCCAATAGGGCAAAGAGATTTCCAATATAACGGTCTCCAGAAAATAAAGGAAAATGACCTGTGAACAACTAGTTTCTGCAAAGTAGCAGAAAATCTTTTAGGTAAAACGGAGAGAGAGAGATGAACTGAGAATGTCACATAATACTTTAACGAAGAGGAGGAAGCAGAGAAATTTAGACCAGAGAAATTTTGGCTTTCCCTTGCAGGCACAAAATACTGTTTCAGGACCGCCCTGGGCCTGAGTCAATGGGCACCCTCAAGCTTAAGCCAAGTCACTCTTACAGCAGAGTGAAGGAAGTTAATCATGAACAGAAGACCTAGATCTCTAATCCCTATAGCAACCCTAGTTACAATGACCAAAAGGTATGTGGGTTCCTAGCACCCTCTGCTGGGCAAAATAAGTTTCTACTGCAATTGAATGGATGGCATTTGAAATCATTCCATCATTAAGCCAATGGCTACAAGCTTCCTAGGTAGAGATGACAAGCAGAAAGGAAGCTGGCAAAAGTCAGATTTCATGAAGAAGCACCCTCAATATCAGAGCACCCTCAACTTTTTGTTGCAGGAAATCAACTTGGGGGAGCAGTGCGGTGCAATGAATAGAATGTTGAGTTTGGAGTCAGAGAACCAGGTTTGTTTGGGTTTTTTTTTGGGGGGGGGTGAGGCGACCAGGGTTAAGTGACTTGCCCAGGGTCACACAGATATTAAGTGTTAAGTGTCTGAGGCTGGATTTGAACTCAGGTCCTCCCAACTCCAAGGCCAGAGCTCTATTCACTTTGTCACCTAGCCACCCTGTGAGAACCAGGTTTTTAACACCTAACTCTGCCCCTTGCTATGTGCATGACCTTGGGCATTATCTATTTACTTCTCTGGGTCTTTCTTTCCACATTCACAAAATGAGTGTCATGGATTAGGTCCCTTTCTGACCTAAATCCACAATCCTGTGACTTATGAATCAAGGATTAGAATATAGTCCAGAGTTGGTATTTCTTTGTCCTGCTCAAAGTCCTGTTTAGTACCCACGGAGAAGAAAATCAAATATCTGAGTCCAAGGCAGCACTGCTGCCTCAGAAGTACTTCAGCTTTACCTATAGAGTGAGGTTAAAACTGTTCCCCTGACAAAACTCGAAGATTCAAAGGGGGTCAAATAATTCCACGGATTGCTGGGACAAGTACCTCGAAAATTCTGTAGTTAATCTAACTACAGATCCCCCAGTTATTGAGAAGAGATAGAAACCTTAGACTGATACCTTTGCTGAAGAACATGGAGGCCATCTGTCCCATCTCCACACGATCAGAGATTTCAAAAATGTTAGGAGATCCATGTCTCTCTGCAGTTTGGGGGAGAAAAGGTAGAGGTTTTGGCTCTCGTGGTTTTTTCCCCTCAACGTCATACAGGGAATACATAGCAGAAGTGGGATCGGAGTTTGTATGAGTTTGTAACCTTTGGCTCCAAACCCACTTCTCTGCCCACACTTTCCTTCTTCTCCATTTTTTCATCTTACTTGCAGGGTCTTTATCCTCCTCTTGCCCTTTAAATAAGGTTGTTCTTTATTGTTCTTTTCCTGGCCCTCTTTTTTCCCCTTTCACACCCATTCTCTTAGTGATTTCCTCTACCTGCTCCTCCTCTCCTCCCCGGTGGCTTTAATTATCTCCTCTATGAAACTAATTCTCAAATGCCAACTTCCCAGAACTCTTGTCCTGTATCTCCAACTGTCTCTTTGTTATATCTATCCAATATCTCACAAAGTTTACAAAAAAATCTGGAAGATAAAACCTTCAATTGTCCTGAGCATTTCTCAATATCATCTACTCAAAGCAAAATATCTCACAGAGAATGTGGAGGGATGTTTCTAATGGGGAGTAAGGGAAGAAGAGGAAGGCTGACCCTTGGTTTAGACGACAAAGAGATATGAGCTGCTTCTATTTTCTAGATAGATCATAAGCACTTCCCAGGGACATAGGAAAAGATGACAAATCAGCATCTCTTCAAAAGCAGAAGGAAACTTCACTCATATCACATGGTGGAAACTAGAATTCTAATTACAATAAAGAAAGGAAAAAAGGCATGCCCAGAGACTTACGAACAGACAAGATGGGCTGTTTCTCTGACCGATCATAGTTTTCCTGGATGAGAACATCATTATCAGAAGCTGTAGAAGAATCATCATCATCTTCCTCCTAGGCATAGCGGACAGGAAGGAAATGGGAGAAAGACCCAAGGAGGAAAAAGTCAAAGGGAATGCTTATGGAAAGTGGAAGGAAGCAGAGAAGATTGTTTGAACTACGTGGAGTAGCTCAATTCTTCTACACTAAAATGAAAGACTGGGGTAGACAGATTCCAAGGAGTAAATTATAGAATAGCTCCTTGCCAAAGAAGGTCAAGATAACAAGAGCATCCACTGTTATCTCACTCGAGCTTTTTACTAACATTGTGAGATGATAGATATTACTCTTCATCTTAAACAGATAAGGAAACTTTGGCTCAAAGAGGTTAAGTGACTTGCCCACGGTCACATAGCTAACAAGTATCAGAGGCAAGGTATGAACCCAGATCTTTCTGACTCCAAGTCCAGTACTCTCCATTATGCCACACTGTCTCTAATAATTTCCAGCTCTAAATCTACGTTCCTACAAATTAATGACTGAGCCCACAAAGAGATGATGAGGTAGAGGCAGAGTTGGAACCCAGTGGCTACTTTGGAAAAATCACTCTCTTTTTCAGGTCTACACATAGCTGTGTTAAGCTTAACTTTGGGACTTAGCTCTAGACCGAGAACCCTTCATATTTCACATGAGAGAAAAGCGATAACTGGCTCCCAATGACACCAATGTCTGCCCAAAAGACAATATATACCTTATGGCTTTCCATCCTCTTCCAACGAAGCTGAGCATTGGCTGCTGCCATGGCTTCCATTACAAAGGTTGTGGTCATGTAGCTAAAAACAAAAATCAAAGGGTTAAACGCCAATGACCAACAGAAAGCAGAGTGGGAGTTGCAGTACTGAAGGTAAAATAACTTTAAGTGTCATCTAGATCATTCAGCCTGAAGTTCTGCCTCTTTTAGAGTCCCTCTCTTAAACTTTCTTTCTGTAGAATACAGCTTTCAGGACACAATCTTTCCTGAGGAAAATATCTATAAGTGTTTAAATGGCAATGTTTACATCTAATATATATTCCCGCTGGGTTGAAGAAGAGCAAAACAAGACCAGATGATTGCTGAGAAAGCAGAACCCAAGTGTGGAAAGAGATCTACAGTTGGCACAACTCAGTTATCCACAGGATCCAAGGGCGCCTGAGAGGCAAACCTACAAGGTGGTTGAGCCATAAAAAGTCCTTCAGCTTCTGGAAAGGATAGAAGGAAACTCTCATCTCTCCTTAGGACAAGGACAGGTAATCAACTCTTGGTTATGCACACTAAAGGATGGAAAATGGCATGAATAAATGAAAATATTTTGTTGTGTCTGCCATGGGAGAAAGAGAAGATATCGCAGGACTTTCTTTTTGGTGTGGATTATGGAGAAGAAGGGAAGAGACACATTCTTAAAGGGACTAGAAATCAGGGACCATTAAAATTACCATAGAAATCACAGTTCCAGAGCTGGAAGGAACCTCAGAGATCATCTATCCAACCCTTTTGTTTTAAAGAGGAGGAAACTGAGGCCCAGGGAAGTTAAGTGACTTGCCCAAGGTCACACAAGTACTACGTATCACAGGTAAGATTTGAACCCAGGTTCAAATTTTAACTAACTCCAACTACATCATCATGATTATTTCCAGAATACACTGAGGCTGAGGATATGAAAAGGGACTAAAGAGGACTACCTCCTTTCCAGAAACTTCTCTGGTATGAACCTAGCTCCTTGCCAGGAAATAAGCCCTTGCTTTGAAACAATCTGAGATTGAACTCTCCTTTTTATTCAGTAACATTAAATGTTGCTGCCTATTTGGATACATCATTGACTCAGCAGCTTTCATTGGGTGTTGACGTGAAAGTGAATAGATTGACTACTCGGCTAAGTAGGTCTGGAGTCAGGCAGAGGACAGGCTCCATCACCCAAGGGTTAAATGGACACCACCACCACCTCTTTTGGGGCAATCAACTCAGAAGCAACCACAGATTAGAACTGCCACTCTAATCTACCATATTTCACTTCCTGAAATGGTTTCTAAAAAGGACAGAAGGAAAAATTATATCCTTGTTGAAGGCAATTACCTACTTTGCAGTGATCGTTTTAAGGGATTACTTTTTCCCCTCCATATAAAATGTTTCTTTTCTTTTTTTTTTTTTTGGCTAGGCAATGGGGTTAAGTGACTTGCCCAGGGCCACACAGCTAGTAAGTGTTTTGTCTGAGGCCGAATTTGAACTCAGGTCCTCCTGAATCCAGAGCTGGTGCTGTATCCACTGCACCACCTAACTGCCCCTAAAATGTTTCTTAAAAAATAAAATCAATCTCATTTAAAATAAAATTGTTTCTCACTGCTCTGTAAACTGCAGTTTCTTCTTTGTTTGAAATCTTTAGCTCATACTCAAGACTCTTCACAATCTAGGCTGTACTACTTCCTCTCTCTACCTCCAGCATTCCAAACTCTCGCCAAAGTCAATAATGCCTATTTCCTAAATTTCATCTTACTCTCATACCTTCATGCTTTAACATATGTCAACTATGAAATACGAAACAGGTGTCACCTCCTCTACGTAAGCTTCTCAGGTAGAAGTGATTCCTATCTCCTTAAAGTGTTTAGGCTACTCTGACCTTTTTTTTAAATATACTTAATCACATCCTACCTTATAACTATTTGTGTACATATCTTCTCCTTCCCTAACTTCACTACATTATAAGCTCTTTGAAGGCATTATAAGCCTCTGTCATGTTAAATATTTCCGTCTCCACTGCCCAGTTCATAGTGGTGCTTAATAAATGTTTGACCTGAATTACTGAAAAACAAACAATTTTATATCACCTCTTTAAGGTCTTGCTTTAATCTCCAGCTATCAAACTCTGATTTCATGTCCAACTGTCTCCTCTATGAGACTCCAAAGAGTTCCCTTGGCCATTCTTTTAAATTCTTAAAAAAGAGGAAGAGTAGGGAACACCTCTACCTCATGACAACTTCTGTGCTAACATCCAGCTTCCTATATGAATTAGGACTTTTGCCTAATAAGATCTCTTTCTTGACCTCTCTGCAGCCTTCCACACTATCAATTACCCTCTTCTAGCTAGTCTCTCTATGCTCTCTAGGGTTTTGTGACACTGCTGTCTCCTGGTTCTCCTCTCTCTTACTGTTTCTTCTCCGATCTCCTTTGCTGGATCAGAAAGTTAGGTGCAGCACTGGATAGAACTCTGGGCCTAGAATCAGAAAGACCTGAGTTCAAATCCAGCCTCAGACACTTATTAGTTGTCTGACCTGAGCAGCTGCTTAACTTTTTTGCCTGCTTCAGTTTCGTCAACTGTAAAATGTGGATAATAACAACACTCACCTCCCAGAGTTATTGTGAGGAGCAAATGAAATATTTGTAAAGCACTTAGCACAGTACCTGGCACATAGCAGGCCCTTAATAAATGTTTATTTCCTTCCCCTCTACCCTTCTACTGACTATGGGTGTTCCCCTTCAAAGCTGTACTATTTCACTCTGTGAGCTCATCAGCTCATATGGACTCAATTATCATCACTTTGCTGATGATTCTCAGATGTCAGATCCAGCCCTAACCTCTCTGTTGTCCTTTAGTCTCATTATCTCCAAACTGCCTACGGGACATTTTAAATTCAATATGTCCAAAATTAAACTCATCTCTTCTCCCAAACTCTCCGCCTTCTGAAATTATCCACTACAACAATCCAGGACACCACCATCCTCCTAATTATGTAGGCCCAAAACCTAGATGTGCCATGTTCAACCCCTTACTCTATCTTCCCCCATATCCAATCTGTCACCAAGTCTTGTCCATTTAATCCTTGTAACATCTCTTGTATATACACTCTTCTTTCTTTTGACACTGACACCTAGGGGAGGCCTCATACCTACACTATTGCAATAGCCTTCTGGTTGGTCTCCCTGCTTCGAGTTTCTCCACACTCAAGTCCATATTCCACTCCACCAAAAGTAACCTTCCTAAAGCACAGGTATGACCATGTCACATCCCCTCCTGCTCCCTGCCCCCCAACCAATAAACTCCAGTGGCTCCCTATCACCCCCAGGATCAAATATACAATTCTCTCTTTGGCTCTGAAAGCCTGTCATAATCTGACCCTTTTCTACCCTTTCAGTCTTCTTACACTTTACCCCGCTCCATGTACTCTGGGATGCAGTAACGTTGGCCTTCTTGCCATTTCTTGCACAAGACACTCTACATATTCCAAATCTGTGCGTTTTTATTGGTTATCCCCCATGATCATAATGCTCTCCCTCCTCATCACCAATCACCCCCATGCCTCCCAGAAGGGTCAACTAAAATGTCTTCTGCAAACACACTTTCCTAGTCCCCTTTAATACTGGTGCCTTCCTTAGAGATTACCTCCTATTTACACTTATATGTACATAGTTGTTTTCATCTTGCCTCCCCCACTAGACTGTGAACTCTATGAGGACAGGTATTGCATTTGCGAAGTGCCTACATAGCAAATACTTGTTGACTGACAGAACCTTTCTAAATGACTTTGTGCCTTATAGGACGCTATGAGTAAGACTACCACTGACAATCATTCTGAAGTTCCAAGTAATGGAAAAGAGGAGCCATGATTCCAATCCCAAACTGTTCCATGGAACCCTTGTGTTCCATGCAATGGGAATATGAACTTATCAATTATAAGACTACAATCTCAATGGTTATCTAGTCTTGAAAGGTTATCTACCTGTAACCAAAGAATGAATCCTGCCTACAAGAGTCTTCTAGCACACTTGTCCTTTACAAGGCAAACCTTTTTAGTTTTACATGGTTCAAATTGTTAGGATTTTTAAAAAAACAGTATTGAGGCAAAAATCTGCCTTCCTGTAACCTCTGCTGACAGCAACTTCAGCTGAGCACAATAGCTGTAATCTTTCTTTTGGATATCAGCCCTTCAAACATTTGGAGACTGTTACCATGTTCACCTTTAAGTCTTCTTTAGGCTAAAATATTCCCGCATACTTCAACAGATCCTTAGATACCACGATTTTGAGGACTCTCACTATCATCCTCATCATCTTTCCTTGGGCATGCTCCAGTTTGTCAACACCTTTTCTAAAAGGTGAAGCTCTGAACTAATCCTCTGGATAGACACAATACTTTCATTCTGAGGAATATACTTTTAAGGCAGTCTAAGACCACGTTAGCTCCTCTGGCTACATCATCATGTTGTTGATTCATACTGAGCTTGTACTTTCAGAAAATATCTGTCCTACTGAGCAATTAAGAAGGGTCTGTCTCTGCTTTCTAAGCAAAGAGACCCTCTGAGCTAATTCAGAGTTACAGCAGGTCACAAGCATTTCCTCTGTCTCTCCTCTCTGCCCCATCTCAGCTCTAATTACCACTTAGGTTTGCAGGGGTTAGAATCCACAGGGAAAGTTATGACAAAAGTCACCACTCATCCTTAAGGAGAGACATACACTACCCTCCACTTCCTGTTCCTCTCCACTTCCCCAACATACAACCATAAGGTAAAAGCTAAGAAGAAAGAGGAAATAAAGTTCAAACCTTTATCTTATGGTATATTTCCACAAATATCCATTCTTTAGGCATTCATAACTCTGCCACAATTTCCTCCTACCCTGCCCCAACACTGTCAAATGGCTCATGGCTTTGACTGTAGGCTCTTGCATTTTTACCAATGTATTTTAAACACTAAAGTATTCCTTGGCCACCTTAATTTAGGATATATTGCCCTGAGGATTAAGGGGTAGCACTCCTTCTAGGCATGAATCACAGTAAGGTTAACTCTTAATTGCGTAATTATCTGGAAATTATTGAAAGCAAATGATAAATCTCATGCTGACATCCCCATCACTGCAAGTGCTCCCAGGGCTTTCCCCCTGGTATCAGGTGACATCTTCTCAAGAGATGAAAACTGACTTTAATATTAGCCTAAAAGCAAAAAGTTGAAGAAATGGCAGAACTGGTAGGAGAAAAACATGAAGCTTAATGTTCATCTTATTTGCATCATTTGCTCTTAGTGCATATAACTAAAATCCAGTGGTATATACTTTGATTTGAACTTAGTTACATTAGAGGTTGAGTCTTCTCCAAGGGTACCAGTATAGTAATTCAAGGGAACCTGTAGTTTTAGAGTTCTATGCAACTTCTAGCTTTGGAGTTTGAACACAGTCAGAACACTTAAGACAGACATAATAGCTGCATCTTACCTCATGAAGCCTAGGAACAGAAGAAGAACTAGGCTGACAAGCCAACCAGCAGTGGCAAAAGCCTTGGGCATAGTGAGGGCACCAGTACCCACAATCAGGTTGAACATGTAGACCAGTCCAACCTGTAACCAACAGAGAAGTGGCATTAAGGTCATGGTATTGATTCTCACATGCAATGGTTCCAAGGGAGGGCAATAAAAGCAAATCTCCAATACTAGGACAGGACTTCAGGCAGCAAAGTATGTGCAGAAGGAACCCGTTTTTAAACCAGAGTACTTCAGGAAACTTGCATTAAACTCAGTCAGTCAGTAAGTCCTATCAATTGTTTTTTTTTTTTCAAGTGTTTCTCATAGCCAAACTTTTCTCTTCATTAAAATTATCACCCTGGTCTAAGTTGTCATCAGCTCAAGTGTGATTAACCTAACAGACTCCTTGTCTCCAGTTTTTTCCCTACTTCAATCTATTCTACTACAAGTGTTGCCCAATTTGCTTCCTTCCTCTATTTTCTTGGAATACTGATTACGTAAGTTTTACAGGTAAATGGGCACTCCCCAGGGGCCACTCTATGACTTTACTGACACAGCACAAGAGCCATGATCAAACCTCGGCTAGGACAGCTATTGCAGGTGTTCTGAAAAAGAAATACTTCATCGTTTCTTCGATTTCTGGGATATTTTCTTTTTCAAACAGCTGGCTTTCTGATATGACCCTTCCTTTTTTCGAGTAACCTCTAAGGGCAATAAACTGAAATTGAGCTTCTTGTATACCATCTGTAGTTGCAAATGTTCAAGGTCCTTGCTCACTGAACACCAAAAGAACTCATACAAATGCTAATTGCATTTTAATGGTTAATAAATCACATAAAAATAAATACACACCAAAAGCTAATACAACTACAGACAAACTCCAAGCCGAGTTGGAAAACAATGCATAGAATAGGGCGTCCTACGCTGGCTTAAAATACAAGTGTCTCCAGAAACAAGACGCTACCACCTTCCAAGAAAGCCCATTCTACTTTTATCTAGGTGACAATGTGAATTTATCATCAAAATAATGCTGGCTGAGTAACTTACTCATCTAATTAAGAAGGTAGGCTTAGTGCTGTAATCATGACCACCCAGAGAAAATAAACTGAATGTGATGGATGGAATTAACACAGGACAATCTATTTGAAGTGCTGGCTCCACCAATGCCACCTAAAACCAAAGCCTTCTCTATAACCCCAGTGCCCAGCACCATCTAAAACAACAAAAGTTGTGCAACAAATTCAGTTAACTAAAGACCCAAGGGTTTGTATGTATAGTATTACCATATACAACATGGTCAAATTCTACCTACAAGACACCTACAATTAGATAGACATTCACAGACCCCTAAACAGAAGAGGTTAACAGAAACTCTCTCTAGGCATACAATCTGACTGAAAGAGAACCACAACATACTGCAAACATATCAGAACCTTTACCTGATTGTGTAGGAGCCATACAATTACCCATCTTTTAACTCCATACACAGTAGGTGCTTAATAAATGTTTGTTGAATTGAAGTAATGAACTGTTCCTCTACTTTTCCTTGGGTCTATCCACTGAAACAACCTTTCTACCTTGTCTACTCCCTGAGGGACCAAAAGTCTAGGTAGTTTTGATGCAGATATTCTCCAAGGCAATTCAAATGTCCTAAAAGTTATACTTACATATGGAGAATAAAGCTCCCCGGTTTCTGTGATTCCACCAGCCATGTTCAAGATGTGTAGAAAGGTTCTTCTTGAAGTTTAGTCTTTCGGGGTTGGGGTTCTTTGAGGTGGCATCAGCTGCTGCTGTCATTGTCCAAAACAAAAGAGTACTAAGTGATTTCTTACAAAGGATCCAACAATAGGAGCTCCAGACTCCCTTTCTCTTACCTCCATACCCTTTGGCGCACAGACAGTTATCCTATGGGCAACCTCAGTGATATCCTCTTAACCCCCACCTACCAAGTAGGCTCAGACTACCCAAGGTCTGTCCAGGTGGCTACTTGATGGCCAGCTCTCTTTTCCGTAGGCCACACAAATAAAGTGTTATTCATAGCATAGGTAATACTAATAAATGTGTGTCAATGTTAACTATAGTCAATCAGTAAGTGCCTACTACATGACAGGCCCTGTGCTAAGTCCTGGGGATACAAAAAGGCACAAGTTGGTTCCTGATCTCAAGAAGCATACAATCTAACCAGGTAGACATGTAAACAATTAAGTACAAAGCAGTTTCTAATTTTTCCTGCTTTCTACCCAGCTCCCAGGACACACTGCCTTGAGTTTTCATCGGTGTTGGGGACTCTCTGGATGGAAACTCTCTCCATCAACAAGGGCCACCTCCCCTCTCCGACCTAGCAGAGAAGTCGTAGGGGAGCACCCGAGTCACGCAGGGGTTAGAGGTGACTGGCCCAGATGCACGCGGCCAGTGCCCGATGCACCCAGGTCTTTCTGACTCCGAGACCACCACGCCGCGCTGCAAACACCAGGTGCTCAAGCCAAGCCTTGGAGCCTCAGCTCCCACAGGCGGGCCCCGGCCCCGGCCCCGCCGAGCCCCCTCCCCCTTACACCGACCACTCGTTTCCCAGCTTCTCTCCCTCGCTGCTCCCGTCCTGGTTTCCACATTCCCTGCGGGTCGTCATCAGCTCTACCCCGCCCCGCCTCTCCTTCCCAACCCAGGCCAGAGCGGGTGAGTGATGAGATGGGCCGGGCACCTGCGCGCAGCTGCCTCAGCCCCACCTCACCTTCGCCTTCGCCGCCGCCGCCTCCTCCTCAGGCGGCTTTCCCCAGCAACCGCCTCTCACACGGCGCCTGCGCACAGCGAGACTACCATTTCCGTATACGTCACGTCATGGAGGGAAGGGAGAGGAGGGAGAAGGCGGGGCACAAGTCGTCGATTGGCTCCAGAGGAGGGGGGCGGGACCAAGGCGGAGGCGGAACGGCGGAAGTGTCTTCTGGGCTGGCGTGCGCCTGCTTGGGGGCGGGCAGGGGTCCGGGATCCCGGATCCGGCTCGGACAGGTGGACGTGAGGCTTGACGGTGGGACCGGGTGCCCGGGACTGGGGTTGGGGGTAATAGGTAGGAGGCTCGAGGACGGCACCAGAAGCCGGGGGAGGTCAGCTTTGGGACGGGGCTTGGCTGCGGCAAGTCTTGCGGGGCTGGGAGCCCCGGGACGGGAAGGTTGTTGACCCCGGAGTCTTCTGTTGTTCGGGCAATTGCCTGGAATACCGAGCTGTTCTCAATGTCTTGTAAATAGAGAGGCGATTGGATTGGGGGCAAGAGTCTTGGCTCCTGCCACCTCCCAGCCTTTGAGACTTCGGACAAGTGGAATTTAACTTCAGGGCCTCAGTTTGCTCACCTAATAAAATGGACTAGGCTTCAGGTTCCTCGTCTGTAAAATGAGGTCTTGCTTCACAGGCTTGTTATGAGGGGCCAGTAGAGCTAATGGGGGCTAAAGAAAAGTGTTTCATGCAAATGAAGTATTTCTAGTATGAATACTGATAGGTATCGGTATTTGGATACAAAAATTTAAAGCATAAAAATGTGAAAGCATAACGCATTCCTAAATGAAAACAGTAGGTATAGGGACTGGATCTATAATTTCATTGCTTAGGGAACTCCCTCTACTAATGTACCTTCGGTAGGCCACTTGCCCAAGAGTCACACAGCCAGTATGTGTCAGGGAAGAGACTTGAACCCAGGCCAACTGTGCATTAGAGGCCCTGCCACCACTCATGCAATTGCAAAAAGTATTTAGAGTAAGGGTAATACTAGTAAATATGTGTCAATCTTCACTATAGTCAATCAGTGAATAAACATTAAATGCCTTCTAGGTGCCAGGCACTGTACTAAATTCTGTGGATACAAAGAGGCCAAAGACGGTCTTTGCCATCAAAGAACTTACAATCTAATACGGGAGGCAACATGCAAACAAATATATACAAAGTAAGCTGTGTACTGGATAAATAGGAAGTAATTAAAAGACCTGGAATTAAGAGGGGATAGAATTTGTGATGATATTAATAAATCAGCCCTGGGGCTTGTTTGACTTGCAGAATGTTGGTCACATGAGGAAAGGGCCAAAAGGAGAGCAATTTTACAGGAAGAGGAAATCCCATCTTTCTGGTGCAACCATGAGAGTAAATCAGAATACTGTGCTGCTGGGACAGAAGGTGATCCTGGTACCCTACACCACAGAGCATGTACCCAGGTAGTAACTCCCTCCTACTGTCATGTGGTTGTAACCATTGCCACCTAGATAATATAATACCTAGTCAACAAACATTTATAAAGTGTTTATCATGTGCCAGGCACGATGCTAAGTGCTGGTGTTACAAAGAAAGGTAAACAGTCCGTGCTGTCAAGGACCTCAGAGTCTAATGTTCTAATATAACGTATGTACTGATATATAAGGATTCTCTTAGAATCTGTAACTTCGACGGCTCAGGTGATATATACTGAACCAGCTGTTTCCTGATCCCCTCAATTATTAATGCTGTCTCCCTCTTGAAACTATTTCATACGTACTTTGAATGTATTTATCTGTGGTTATATTGGATTTCTTCAGCCTCCTTCTCCATATACTCCACTCCCCAGTAGAATATAAAGTTCCTCATGGGCAGGGACTGTTTCTTTTCTCTATTGTCATCTTTGTGTACCCTCAATTCCCCCATGTTTGAGGAATTGAATGAGTACCCCAGAGCCAGCCCTGAGCTTCTGGAATGTGGAAAGCTTGAAGAAAAGAAAAGCCCAGTTCCTCTTTTCCTGGAAGGGGCATTGGTCATGTGAAATAATATAATATTCAAAGGGAAGCTGAATCTGAGGTGGAAGACCTGCTAGTGACCTGTGAGTACTTTTCCTTCCCCATAAACACACTTGATTTCATATTTCACTCTCAGGCCTTCAGAAGATGTTTTAGATAAACTCTGGGTATTGAAATACATTTCCCTTAAAGTCATTCCCCCAAAGCATCGTTATTGGAGTGGAAATGCCCTGAGGAGAACACAAACAGGTCCTAGCAAGCTAGAAAATTTCAAATATTATCTTGTCATTCAGTGACCAGTTTAGCTAAATCCAGAAAGGTTTATCATAAGAAATCTGGTTACCAGGTGATGGATGAGGTGGGACCACAGCACCTTATGAAGACAAGTATTTATGTCCAGTAGAATATAAGCCCCTCGAGGGAGGAGACTATCGTATTTTGTCTTTGTATCCCAAGTACCTCTTTGTTGTTCAGTCGTGTTCCAACTCTTCATGACCCCATTAGAGGTTTTCTTGACAAAAACACTAGAGTGGTTTGCCATTTCCTCCTCCAGCTTATTTGACAGATGAGGAAACTGAGGCAAACAGGGTTAAGTGACTTGGGTCACTGGGTGCCCAAGAAGTGTCTGAGGCCAGATTTGAACTCAGGAAGATGAGTCTTTCTGACTTCAGGCCCAGTATTCTATTCACTGTGCTATCTAGCTGCTCTAAGCACCTTAACAGGTGCTTAATAATTGCTCATTGAACTGAATGTCAGTCTGAGTGTTTGGAATGAGTCCTCCACTAATGAAGTGATGAATTTTTTGATGTGTGACAAAGGAGAATAAAGAACTTGCCCTCCCATTCCTGATTGTAAGGCAGCAATGTTCTGTTGGTGTCTATGAAAAAGCTTACTTCCTGAAACCCTAACCTCAACCTGTCTGAGACTCTTGACTTATATGAATGTTAGATTACTTTTAAATGCCAGTACAGTTCCTGGCTGCAAGGTATATTCTTTCAAGGGAGGAGCAGTACAGTATCTGGTGAATAGTAGAAGCCTGCACGGCTTGTACTTCAGCCCTTGGAAAGGTTTGGTTGTGGCCTGACTTGGTGGACATTTGCCCAGCTTAATGTGCTTTACTTTCACTCAGGAATTCCTGGAATGTTTGTGACCCCAGGCTGATCCCCTTTGATAATTCCTCCTAAAGGACTGGAGGGTAGGCTGAGCTGTTCTCTGTGTATGATTCCCCAGGGCTGGCCTGACCTCAGTGACTGGTGCTCTTTGTCCTATCCTTTGTGGGTAGCTCATAGCCCTTCCATTGGTATTTTTTCTAATCCCTGGACAACTCTGCTTGAGGTATCTGAGCAGTAGTAGCATTCCTACCATCCCACCCCCATTGTTCCGGGGTACATTCATCAGACCAGGTCCCCTTGTTTCTTAGACTTTGCCTGCTTTCCCTTCAGATACCATGAATGGATGAAGTCAGAGGAGCTGCAGCGGCTGACAGCCTCCGAGCCTCTGACTCTGGAGCAGGAGTATGCGATGCAACACAGCTGGCGAGAAGATACTGATAGTGAGGCATTGAGGCGAGGGGTGGGGAGAGGTTTGTGGGAAGCCTGAGTCCTTGTGCTGTCGTGTTCACCCATGATGGCTGTTTGGGAGAGGTGTCTTGTGCTAGAGCTGTTTGCTTCTACTCAGTATTTTCACCAATTTGCCTAGATACTACTGCCTGAGAAAAGGGAAGGGGTTTCTTTTGAGCTTGGCTCTCCTTCAGGTGGAAGGAAGGCAGTGAGTCCAGGATTGGTTTAGAGCTAGCAGAGCTGCTTTCCTCTGGCCCCAGATCTAAGCACTGTATCTCCATCAGCTGGTATGGCTGTATTGTACTTCCTTCCTTGAGTCATTTTCCTGGTAGGCATGGAGAATGCATGGGTTTCATGCCATTATCAAGCTTGAGGCTCATCTGAAGGAGGCTTTTGGCCTTATTTTCTCCTCCCTCCCAGAGGCTGGGAAAACACTACTATCCATGTGGAAAGAAGTGGGAAGATATTTTGGAGGTCTGCTTGTAAACCTAAAAACCCCATCTGTCCACCAGAATGTACTTTCATTGTGCTGGATGCAGAGAAATGGCAGGCACAGCCAGACTTGGCCGAAGAGAGCTGCATGGTGGGAGATGTGAACTTGTTCCTTACTGACTTGCAGGACCCAACTTTGGGGGAGATTGAGGTCATGATTGCTGGTATATTTCATCTTGTTTTACTTTTCCCTTGTTTTTCATCTCCCTACATTGCCCTAATCTACCCCCCCTCCTTTCAAGCCCCCCTCCCCCTCTACTCTTCCTTCTTAGTCATCTTAGTCTTTGAAGCTGTGTGGGTCTTCACTTAGCCAGTCTCAGGCCCAGGTACCTGGCTGGGTCCAGCAGAGTTCCTGGAACATACTGTAGTCTGTTGCTGGGAGACTCCCCCAGGGAGCAATCACAGCCCCTCGGGTATCTTAACTACTTCATTTCCCTTTTGCTCGGATGTCACTTTTCCCTCCTCCTTCATAGAATAATAGGATTTAGAATTGAAAGGGAATTCCCATATAGTCCAACCCCCTTCTTTTACGTATAGAGAAATTGAAGCCTAGAGAGGTGATGTGACTTGTCTAAGTTTGCTGTGGTAATCAGTGGTAGAAACAGACTCTAACATAACTAACAGGTAGTTATTCTGAGAGCTTCCCCAGCGCCAGGAGGTCAGGAACCCTTCCCTCTGCTGCTTAATCTTCATTCTCTCCCAAAAGAACCTCTCCATCTCTCCTGTTTCCTTCAGAGCCCAGCTATCGACGCAGGGGGTTTGGCACAGAGGCAGTTCTGATGATGATGGCTTATGGTAAGGACAAAGGAGCCAGCCAGTCACTCGGGCTGTGTATGTATGTATGGAGGGTAAACATTTGGTGTGGGATGATGAAGTGATGCCTCTGGGGCTTAGGCTTGGACCTCACTTTTACATTGCTGGGTCGTGGGCTGCCTCCTCACTACAAGACTGTAATGAGGCTATGGGGAGAGGAGCCAGGACTGGGGAGGAGTACTTTTTTGTTTTGTCATCAGAGTGTGTGTTCCTTTTTTTCTGCCATGCTGTGGAAGGAATGACCACATTAGGTCTCAACAAATTTGAAGCCAAAATTGGACAAGGAAATGAGCCTAGCATATGCATGTTTAAAAAGCTTCACTTTGAGCAGGTAAGAGTATTAGATGGGGAAAGGTTGGGACGTCAAGGGGGTTAGCCCAGTGGTTAGGGGCTCGGACCCAGTTTTGTTTTCCGTGGCTCTCATAGGTGACTATGAGTGACATCTTTCAAGAGGTGACACTGAGGCTTCTGGTGAGTGAGCCGGAGAGACAGTGGCTCCTGGAGCAGACCAGCCACATGGAAGAGAGGCAGTACAGAGGCAGGAGCTGGTGGAGCCGTGAAGCTAACAGTTGCTGATCTTTCCTGGGAGCCCTACTAGCTGGCCTGGTCTTGTAGGGAAGATTTTCAGATCGATGGGTAGAGGAATCTCATCTACACCCCCCGTAATAGCTTGTACTATTAGGACAGAGCCCTTATACTCCTAGAGTTTCCTTGGCAAGCCACTCCTCAGAGGCCCATCCGGGAAAAGTCTCTTCTCTCCCTGAACAAGGGAGTTAAAATACCTACAGATCATTGACTCGCTTGCACTTGACATTTGATGGGAATGGCTTTGCTGAAGTAAAGATGAGGGAAGACCCCATTTGGAATCAGGAATAGATAGGAGCGATCCAGGAAGGACGTAACTGTGAAGACCTGCAGCCAGCATGACTACACTGTGCCTCCTTCCTTCTTTGAGGCCTGGTGCTGCTGGGCATGGCTACTGTATATGGAGGATGCCAGGGTTTCATTGCCACTGGCATATGAAATCTAGACTGGGTTTAGAGAAGCCTATAAAGTGGAAAATATCAAGTCTGGGAGAAGAGGGAAGAACCCACAGGAATCCTTGAAACTGGCCACATGCCCTGGACTGAATGAGAGCTCTGTACTGATCTCCAGCTTCTCTGTATGCCCAGCCTCACGGCACACTCTTCCTGACGTATGGGCCCTGATGTCGGGTTCTAATTAGTAGTACTGATGGGGGAGGGGGAGTCCAGAACTTGCTGTAATAGAGCAGTGCTTTCCTCCATGAGATAGTGCTCAACCCCAACCCTGGCATTACCGTGCTAGCAAGCTCTCCACATGGCCACCAGATGGCAATAGAGGAGCGATCTGAGATAGCCTGAGCTGAGCAAGAGTGTCACAGGGTGCTAGAGACAGAAAGGCTCATAGGTTGAGGACAACCCCCAGAATGACCACCACCTCTATTCTAGCCATCATGAAAGTACAGGGCTGTTTCCAAAGTATTACCCTGATACAAGATGCGCCCGAGTTTGTTTACTCATCTGTAAAATAAGGGGAATTCAAACCACATCTCTAACATTAAGAAATTACCTTGATGGGTAAGGAAAGAACCAAAATCTACACCCTCTATTTCTGGCCATCTTTGAAATTGCTAATGCAGCCCCCGCCCTATCTCAGCCTCTCCACCCGTTCGTGGCCTAGCCAGAGAACCCCAAGGACATAGATTTCTTCATCTTGGCAAGTAAAGCTGGGGCCGGCCCCAGTGCAATCTTAACAGTAAGAGGTTTTCAAATTGTAGGGACGGGGCTTGGGGACCAAAAAGTTGAAGAAACTGGGTTTGATTTGAGTGCTCAACTCCCAGTTCCTAACCTGTTTCTGGTATCATATTTTTTAAAGATACCAGTCCACAGCCCCACTTTGAGGCCCTTGGAAGAATTATAATCCTCTTTAACTAAAGTGTTTTTTTAACCTGTCTTTACTTCATAGGATTTACAGCTGGAAACGGCCTAATTAACCCCCATCATTTTAAGATGGGACAATTGAGACTCAGGTTAACTTACTTCCTCAAAGTTGAATACAGCAAAAACCAGCGTTTGAATCCAACTTCTCTGACCCAAGGTTCAGTGCTCTTTCTCCTAGAACACTGCCTTTCAGTGCCCATTTAAGGAAGGAGCTGGGCCTAAATCAGGAACATCAACTCCTCTGCTCCTTTTCTCATGGAATGGACACCAACCAATTAATCCTGGTAGATACTACAGGTCCTGTCCGTATTCCCAGACTCTAGTAACGTCTCACCCCAATAAACAGAGCTGGGAACCAATCTCTATGATCTAGGCGACTTCTGTCCCCTGCCTTTTTCAAAGATAGAGCATGGTGCCCTCATCCTTCAGACTCTTCAACTTTTATTGCCCCCAAGCTGCTGCTTTGTGTACAGTACATGCTGGGATTAGAGGAACAAAACTAATGAGTGAGGCTCCCTGCTTCAGGCAGATAAGATAATATCATTGGAGCTGGCTCAGGGTCTCACCAGTCCTAGCAATCTATGAACCACCAACAGGCCAGGCAGAGATTAAAGCCAAGTCCTTGTATTCCCAGCTACCTCCCCCAGCCCAGGGCTTAGTGCCTCCTAATAACCCAGGCATCATTCAGCAGAAGTCCTCCCCTCCTTTTTCTCTGCCTCATTCCAGACTTCTAATCATCTAGGACTCGGCCCCCATTCCTCAGTGTGCCAGACTAAAGTTTCAGTTGTGGGGGCACCAAAGGTAAATCTGAACTGAGTGACTGGTGGTGATGGGGGGGGTGGGTGGGTGTGTGGGTGTGTGTGTGGAGTGAAATTTTTGGGCCTGGTTTGAGAGAGGCTAGGAAAGGGGTGGGGGTGGGGTGATGGGTTCCAGGGAAGAGAAACTCCATATATTTATTAATGAGGTGCTAAACTTTTTTTGCCTACTGAAGGATTGCAAGTTCTATCAGTGACTTCTGTACCTAGAGGACAAAGCACTTGTTTCTCCACCTTAGTTACTACTGAGGTATATACCTGTACATATTTAGACTCTGATTTAGCTCAGCACTTGTATAGTGCAGAGTTCTGTGAATAAGGGAAGGTATTTTAAGAACTAGGTCTGCTATTCCTCTTCTCCCCCCCTCCACCTTAGGTTGACAAGGCAGAGAAGACTGGAGCTGCAAACAGCTCCTCTGACCTGAGCTATAGCCACCTTTTTCTTTTCCAAAGATCACCTGGAAGGGAGAGGTTGGGTATAGGACATGGAATAAGCATACAGGGAAGGGTAAGAGGAACCAGTGGAATTTGTGCTAGAGCTTTATTACTGATTAGATTGTGAGCTCCTTGTGAAAGCCAGGGACCTTTCTTTGTATCCCAGGTCTTAGCAGTGTGTGGCATGAAGTAAGCACTTAATAAATGCTTGTTGACTGACTGATGGACGAATCTCAGCTGGGAAGGCCCTAGGTAGTATTGGGTTCAAAGCCTAGGGCAGTGCTGTAAGTAGTCTCAGAGTAGGGAAAAGCAAGCTCAAGACAAAACAAGCAACTTCCAACACGGGAACTGGGAGAAATCATGTTAATCATAGCACAAAAAAAATCCTTCTAAACTTATGTATGACACTAAAACAGACATTCCCCACCCCCCAAAACCCAAACATCCTGATTTGTAGCTTTTAGGGAGAAGACCCTGTCCGTCCCTGAGCTGTGGTTTCTGCCCTTAGGGCTTCTCATTCAGCCATTCCCTGGCTCTGGACGGTGTTATGTTAGAATGGCATGAAAAAAAATTAATCGGGAAAAAAAAATCTATTAAATCGTCTCACAGTCTTCCAGCTGGCAGGGAGGGGAGAGAATGTAGTCAAGAAATAGACCCTTCTTAGGGCCCTAAGAAGAAGGGATTTGGGGAAAGGTGTCTTCTCATTAGGACAGAACAGGAAAACATGTTCCCTGGGCTTTAGAAAGAACGTGGGTGAGTCAGCTAGGTGGCACCGGCCCTGGATTCAGGAGGACCTGAGTTCAACTCCAACCTCGGACACAACACTCACTGGCTGTGTGACTCTGGGCAAGTCACTTACTTGCCCAGACACAATTGACACCAAAAAAAAAAATGGGAAAGACCATGGGTGTCTAGGAAAATCAGATGCTGGTGCTGATTTGTACTTTGATTTGGGGTAAGTGGAGAAGAGGAAAGGGAAGGAAGACCAAGGGACACATCTCAGTCCCCCTACCCCCAACCTCCTCCCTACTCTCTGGGGTAGTTTGGTGGGAAGGGAAGGAGGACACTGGAATAGATGCTCAGAGATTGCTAAAGAGTTCATTTTTCTTGCTCCAGTCCATCTGTGGTGCACGTTTGCTGCTCCGTTTCTGGTGAGCCCGCTCTTTGGCCACTGCCAGGGAGATGTTGAAGTCCAAAATGGGATCAGAGGAAGAAGACGTAGAAGAGGGTGGAGTGGAATCTTGTTTCTTGGGACCATCTTGAGAATCCATCTAATGGCAGCAGAGGGGTGAAGTAAATAGTAAATCATCACTCACCAGGATTCTATCCCTCTCCCCCATTGTCCAACCACTTTCCTTCTAGCCCTGAGAGAGGTGAGATGAGGAAGGTCCATATTTCTTAGCTTAAGTGCCAGTCAATGGCCTAGGGACCTACATCACACAAAGCAACTAAATGTGTGACTAGATGCAGGCTGGTGTGCCAAGTGTTCTAACCCCAGAGGCCTGGGCTGTGTCATTCACTAATCTTATGCTGTCTCCACATCTCTATAGCTCAGTACCTCCTTTCCCACCTGGCCCCCACTGAATTCCAACTGGAAGAGATTTTTGTCTCTGGGGAGGCCATTCACTGTATCTCAGCCCCTGGACCCAGGCATACCTCATCACTAGTTTCACTAAGTGTAGACCTCGATGATGATGCTTTGGGGCTCTCACACATGGTTTCAGTCCAGGTGGCACTGCTCTCCTGGTATAAAAGGATAAAGAATATATGTGAAGGTAAGCAGCTAGGGAGAGAGTCCTCACACTGTTAAGCATCAGGGGAGACAAAAAGTTCAGCCCAAGATAAGGCATTATAGCAAATGGCCGTACCCATCTGAAAGTCATTAATACTCCAAGTTCAGCAGCTGCAGTGGAGAATTCCTATTCCTCAGAGGGGCAACTTGGTTTGAATTCCTGGGAAAGATACTAGACAGCCTCACTGTAATATTTAGCCAAAATTGCAGGCCTCTGGCTTTTAGCTACAGACCCCTGGATATGACCGTAGAGATGTACTTCTTGCAAGCTGTAGGGTACTTTTTTGTGCCTGTGGACCACCACCTCCCTGCCTGCCATTTCTGGACCCTGGAAACCTCCCCCAAGCCTGATTCCCTGGGGAATATGAAGAACAGTAGTAAGGGGTATGAAAAATGCAATGTCTATGACCAGAGACACCAAGGGGAATGAGTTTTGAGAGGGAATTGTCCTGTTTCTTCTATCTCTACCCCTACCCTGAGGTTTCTGCTCTGAGATATCTTTTCAGAAGCACAGCCCAGTTTCTTCCACTGCACCTTCCTACTAGTTCTGTTCACTGGGTTGAGGGGGAATAGAATGGATCCTACAAAACACCCATCCTTCCTCCACACTACCTCTTTAGGGAAAGGGCAACTTTCCCCGGCATGGATCTCTTGGCCAGGAGCATCAGCTTGGCTCCCTGCCCCTCCCATGGTTCTCTTAGGGCCCTGGCTGGCAGACAGCCTCTGTAGTCTCCTCCCAACCCCCTATTCCTCATTTTACTTTACTGGGCGGGGGGGAGGGGAAAGGGGTTGGGGTGGGGGGGAAGAGGGCTTTGTTTTCTCAACCCAGACTTGGAAGTAGCAGAGGCTGGGCACTGGCTGGACACTGAAGCTCTGTTCTTCAGGGGAAGAATAGTCTCCTCTGTATGGTAGAGAGTGGGGGGGCCGTCACCCAGTGACTAGGCAGGGAGGGAGGATGGGCCTTGCAGGGACCTGCAACCATGCCTTTCCTTCCTTCCAAATAAGCTCTGCTCTAAGCTAGGGTCTGCATGGATAGAACCAAGTGTCAGAGCTCAGGACATTGAATTTTCAGCAGATTGGACACCCAAGTTGTATATCTTCTCTGAATTTCAAAGATGGAAAGCTTCAGACCCCTTCTTCCCAACCTCCCTTTCCTCCCTCTTCTCTTCTGTTTGTCTCCCTCCCTCACCTCTGCGTCTCTTCCCACCCCCATCTTTGTTTCTGTCTTCATATCATCCGTTTTTGCCTCTGTTTTCTCACACACCCACCCACCCACACACACACACCCACACACACACCCACACCCCAAAGACCATTAAGAAAGTAGTTATTAAACTCCAGGCAAGCAACAGAAGAAATATTCTTCTTTACCTTCTCTACCTCTCCATTGGCAACAGCCTCTGGCAAGGGACCTGTAAGAGTAAAGGGGAGAGAATGTTGTGTATGTGGATGATTCTAAAGGCTTTGGCCATTATCATTACTGACCTAAACTTTGCAGGAATATTTCAGGGTGTGGGCAGGGAGGGATTGGAAATTGCCCTCATTCTTTGGGATTTACCAAGAGAAAAGAGCTGTCACCCCATGTCTCTTGCCTAGGAATTCAGGAAAGCTGATCCACAGCATGCTGACTTCCCCAAAGCAAAATTGGGGAACTCAGCCACATCTGGTGTGGGAAGAGAAAGTCTTAGGATATAAAGAATATAAGACAGGAAGGGATGAGGACTGGGAGAGGAGAAAAGGAAGGATTAGGTGGGTGGCACCTATACCTAGGCCTTAAGATTTGCTCAGTGCTTGAGTCACAATAACCTCAAGTAGTGAAACTAGTAAGATCTCCATTTTATAGATCAATAAACTGAGGTATTGAGAGGTTATGCAACTTAAGCAAGGTTACAGGATAAGAAAAGTATATTTGAAATTAAGATCTTCTGACCAGGGCCACTTTTCTTTTCCCTACATCAATAGGGAATATTTTCCTTATGGCCAGAGTCATAGGTTTTAGTAATCCCATGTAGGTAGATACCTTCTGAATCCTCTTATTTTTTTCATTAAGAATTGAATTTTATTACCCCTGGAGTGGGGATGAGGGCCCTACTAAGTATCAGTATTAGGACACAGCTTAGAAATAAGCCTTACCCTAGACTCAAGAATGACTCTCACCCAAGGGTTTGCTGTATCAGAAAACTATTCCAGGAGACAACTTAGCAGCAGATTTAGTGTCCTGGGTGCTAGCACTGTTACTGAGCTCCAGTACCATTTCTCCCAGATCCATTTGCAGAAAAAGCCTTACCCTAGACTCAAGAGTGACCCTGACCCAAGGGTTTGCTGTTATCAGAAAACTATTCCAGGAGACAACTTAGCATCAGGCTTAATGTACTGGGTGATAGCACTGTCACTGAGCTCCAGGAACATCTTTCCCAGATCCATTTGCAGGGCAAAGCCTCAGAGCTGTGTTGCCAGATGCCCCAGCTCACAGTGATTCCCAGCCCAGGACTGAGTGGGTGAATAACCTAGTTGTTGCCCACGGAGAGCAGAGGCTCCAGTTTCAGTACAGGAAAGAAGGAATGAGGTTAGGAAGCATCTGGATGCTGTCACAACAGCCCAGTGTCTACCACTTTTACCACATGCCTACACAGTTGCCTGTCAGTGGAAGAACATTTAGCATTTGACAAAACCAGACATTCAGAAGTGCAAGCCAAATCTGCAACACGCAAACTAGTGCAGAGACTGCCTGTTAAGATACAGAGCTCTCCATCCTGAAGGGGAGATACCAATAAAATGAAAAGATGGATAAAAATAACAATTGTTCTGAAAATAACATTAATTTTACATTTATGGGGATGGTAGAGTTATTGAATTACTATTTACCCAATTCTCATTTTTAGCACTTCAATATAATGAGTTTTTTGTTTTGTTCTAAAGGTGATAGTGGTACAGTGGATAGAGTGATGGGCCTGGAGTCAGGAGGGGGCCTCGGATATTTACTAGCTGCGTAATCCTGGGCAAGTCATTTAACTAAGCTGTCTGCCTCTGCTTCCTCAGCTGTAAAATGGGAACAACAGTACCTGCCCTCCCAATAATATTTGTAAAGCACTTGGCACAGTGCCTGGCACATGGTAGGTGCTTAATTAATGCTTGTCCTCTCTAGTGATCCATATTTGTCATGTTAGGCCTTTGTAAACTGGTCTTCATCATCATCACTGACTCTAGTCCTCTGTAAACTATCAATAGAAGTCAACAGTGCTCCTTGAAAGAACTTTGACACGAGCTGGAAGCCACCCAGCTGGGGCTGCTCATTTGTTTCCGATAGCAAAGACTTAACTGCTCTGTTGCAGTGAAATGTTCACTTGGTAGCGTGTACCCTGTGTCACTTTCTAATTCTCTAGTATCCTTATGGGATACCTAAGCAATAAGTATTTTCCTTGGAAGTTTCTCTAGGCAGCTCAAGACTTGCTTAAGAGATGCAAAGGAAGAGGCAAGAATTGTTGATGGAGTCCACCCTTCTCTGGTCGGGATTCCATGACTCACCCTCATCCAAATGAAAGCTTTCAGGCACTGCTTTATTTTCAGTTTGCCAAACTAGTCACAGCTCCTACCAGAGCCTAATTAACAGTTCCATCCCCTTCTTAACCTCTCATTCCAAGGGGCCACTCGAGGACTTCCTACCCACTGAATTCCCTGGGCACCAAAGTGGCATAGTAGATAGTGCCAGGCTTAGAGTTAGGATGACCAGAATTCAAATCTTGCTGAAATCTCCTACTAGTTGTATGAGCCTGAGCAAGTCGCTTAGG